AAATTATGAGGAACAGTAAAGATCACCAGTTTAGTCTGGATGTTCTTTCACCTATATTTAGAAAAGTCTTAAGAGTATGTACTGGAGGGGATGGGGAGAGATAAGGTGAGGTTGAGAGTGGTGTGATACACAGATATGGATGTGTATATGTATACACTTTGCTTATATCTGTATACAAACATTCATATGTGTGTCCACATACATGCATATTCATAAGGCCTTGTTTGTTAAAAAAAATTCTGCATTGAAAACTGTTGGTCTAGTAAAACCCAGTAATTTTCTTCATCAGAATCTGAGAAATGGAAAGTTATTTATCCAAGGTAATGAGAGGAGTAAAGTGGTAGCAAGTAAACTCAGAACCAGATGTTTTCCTTCTTCCATTAAAACTCTTTACATTTCATTCTCACTCAATTATGTATACATTTATCAAACATGTGCTAAATGCCAGGGATATTGAAAAAAGTAAGATATAACATTACTTTCTAGAGTATTTGTTTTTGGAAATGTAATGAGACACTGAAATAATAATTATAGTTCTGGATACTATATGTTGTAAAAAAGAAAAAAAAAAGGAAAAAAAATCACTATCAATTACTGTGTATTTGCTTATCTTCCAGCCACTATGGTCAATATTTTATATATTGTAAATATGAATTCACTTAAACCTCGTGGTAAGCCTATTCATTAGGTATGATCATTATCCCCATTTTACCTAGTCTAGAAGTGAGGGAGGATTAAATCACTTGGACCAAACAAGCAAATTGTGGGAGGACAAACAGTACTGATACTTAAGGAATACAGGATTAACTTTGTAGCTGCTTTGAAGAAAGATTTACAGAAATCTGAAATGGGGTTATGAAAAATGCAAAGGAAGAAAAAGGCTGTTCAAGGTAAAGGGAAAGTCTTGGAAGCCTTAATGATGATAACCTATCCAGGGGATAAAGAATTATTTGCAATGGCCAAAAAATAGTAAATAAGACTCAAATGGTAATTTAGAACCTTATTGTGAGATTTGGAATGACTGTTTTGAGTCTGAGCTTTAATCTGTATGTTAATAAAACATCAAGTTTGTAGTCAAGAACTGAGACAATGAGATACTCACCTGAAAAGATTCATGTTACATCAGTCTTAACATGACCCAAAGAAACAAGAGACCAGGCAAGCTATTGGCGTGGTCCAATGATCAAAGTGTGCATTGATAAATTATATAGATGTTTAAGTCAAATGGTTTCCTGGAGTTGCACGTGATGCTCCAAATTTTACCCTCTGGACCGTGTAAACGAAACCCAGTTCTTTTTTCTACATCATAGACCTTTATATATCAAGGCATCCCCCACTTTGACTCTAGCTATTTCCATGGAAGGATCAGTGCTTTAATAACTCCTACAAACTTCTTAACTGTGACATCTTGTTACTCTGATTCTCTGTAACCTCTAAATCTGTTTTCATCACCTGGTCATTTGAGGGACAGAGATAGTTCCTCTTTCCTATTTGGAAGGACTTATTCCTCCTCTTCCAGAAGACGACAAATGTTCCCCTTTAGAGTTATCTCAGGGTGCTCATTTTCCTCTTGTTCCATTTCAGCAACAATATCAAGAGATATTGAAAAAGGCAATGTGACTTTGCTAGGCATGCAGATCCCTGTGAAGGATATTGAGACGCTGGCTTCTGTTTTGATTGCCATGGGCATCATTCTCCTGCTCATTGCTGTGGCTCTTGGTGGTGTGGTCTGGTACCAGCATCGACAAAGAAAGCTACGGCGCAACAGGAGGTCCATCCTAGATGACAGCTTCAAACTTCTGTCCCTGAAGAAGTAACAGCTGGATCCCGGAACTGCCCATCTGGAGTGAACTCCCAGCAGACTGTGCATTAGCAACTGGCCCCACTGTCAAAAGGGCAGGGTGGTAGAAACAGAGGAGGACATTAAATTTGCCTGGGTATTTCTTCACCTATTTATTTACATGCAAATGCTATTTTTTTCTCTTTTTCTTTGTTCCACTTAATCACCTAGTGCTAGAGAAATTCCCTAATATCCTATATGACAAAATTCAATAGGTAGATTATAATATCCACTGATGGTTAGAATGTTTGAAATTCCTAGAAACTGATTATTCTCACAAAGTAAATACCAAATGTATAGCTCATTGGTTAGGTTTCTACTACTTTCCAGGAGCTTAACAGTTTGACTCTGAGCTTAAGTTAAGTGAGCTGTAAAGAAAATTCACATTTAAAGTATAGAATAAATACATGCATCATGAGTGCATTGGTATTTGAGGATCCAAATTGTATTTTGATTCTTCTTGGTGGTGGACAATTTTAGAAAAGCAGATGAATGCAATATCATTGTCAAGGGGACCTACAACCAATGGAGTCAGAAGCTCTTCAGTAAGTCAGTCCTCCACATTTCTGGCACAGTCATATTGAAGAGCATTTTGAGTGTTTTCTCCATGTTTCATACTGAATATCTTGTATATGAAAGTATTTGTTACAACACTAAGTATAAGCTCGGTGTGTTCTTTCTATAATTTATGTATTTTTTTTAACTGAGGTACCCCCATCAGGTATTATCAGCATAGTGCACCCACCACCAATTAACCCATATTGCTCCAACATAGACCATTGTGCTTTCTTCCTTCTTTGTTCTTCCCCCTCTCCTACCCCCTCCACACCTTAGTGCTTCAGTTCTGTAGTCAGCTATGAAATACTAGTTTTACAACTTCCAACTATTACTTTGCTTTATATTCCACATATTAGTGATACTATCCAGTATTTATCGTTCTCCTTCTGACTTATTCACTTAGCATTATCCTTCGAAGCTCCATCCATGTTGTTGAAAATTGCATGAGTTTAACTTTTTTGATCACTGTGTTGTATTCCATTGTGTATATATACCACGTTTTCTTGGTCCATTCATCTGATCTGGATCACTTAGGTTGTCGCCATAGTTTAGCTATAAATAGTGCTGCAATAAACAAGTTTCCTTTCAAATTAATGTTTTTAAATCTTTTCGATAGATGCCTAGGAATGCAATTACTAGGTCAAATAGGAGATCCATGTTTAATGTTATGAGACATCTCCATACTGTTTTCCATAAGGGGCTGGGCCAGTTTGCTTTCCCAGAAGCAGGGTTCCCTTTTCTCTACATTCCCGTAACACTAGTTTCTGGTCTTTTTGATATGGACCATTCTCACAGGTGTGAGAAGATATCTCATTGTGGCCTTGATTTGCATTTCTCTAATAAGTTATTGTGAACATTTTTCAGGCACCTGTTGGTCATTTGATTTTTCTTTTTTTTTAATTTTTAAGACTTCTTAATTTTATTTATGCATACCAGAACTGGGGTACAGGCCAGAGGTGCAAGGGTGAGATGATTCACCAAAGACAGAGTAGGGAACAGAACAGGCAGACTGACTGAAATACACTGCTGGGGGGAGCAGCGGGCAAGGCAGGTGAGGTCTGCTGAGCCATGTGGGTAGCTCCCTGGCCAGCTGGGGATCAAACTCATGCTGCAGTGGCTGTGGATAACTTCAAAGTGCTGTGCTTAATGCCCTGAGCCTCCAGGGAGACCCATTTGAATGTTTCTTTTGCCATAGGTACTTTTGACCATTTTTTGATTGAGTGAATTGTTCTGTTTTAGTGGAGTTTTATGAGTTATTTTATATCAGTCCTTTGTAAAATGTATGGTATGCATATATTTTCTCCCATTCAGTAGGACATATTTTCATGTTAGTTATGATTTCTTTCACTGTACATAAGCTTTTAGCAGCAGCCCCAGCTGTTTATGTTGTCTTTTGTTTTCCTTGATATTGGGAACGAATCCCAAATGGCATTACTAAAGCTTAAGGAATTAAATGTTTTGCTTATGTTTTCTTCTGTGTATTTTATGGTTTCAGGTTTTACATCCAAGTCTTTCATCCATTTTCAGTTGATTTTGGTATATGGTGTGATTTTGTTATCTAGTTTTATTCTATTGCATGCAGCTGTCCAATTTTCCCAGCACCATTTATTGGAGAGGCTATCCTTCTTCTAAGCTATTATTTTGGCTCCTTTGTCATATATTAGCTATCCATATATATATATATATATATATATATATATATATATATATGTAGGTTTATTTCTTGGCTCTCAATTCTATATAATTGGTCCGTGTGTCTATTTTTGTTTCAGTACCAAGCTCTTTTAATTATTGTGACTTTATATTTTGAGAGCTAAAATTGTGATATCCCCATTCTAGTTCTTTGACAAAATTGTTTTTGCTCTTCAGGGTCTCTTGTGATACCATATGAATTTCAATAGCATTTGTTCCAAATCTTTGAAATAATCCACTGATATTTTTAATGGGATTGCAGTGAACTTGTATATTTCTTTGAGTAGAATGACCTTTTTGACAATGTTAATTCTTCCATCCATTAGAAGGGAATATATTTCCATTTCTTTGTGTCTTCTAATATTTCTTTCAAGAATGTCTTACAGTTTTCTTTGTAGAGATCTTTTACCTCCTTTGTTAGGTTTACTCCTAAGTATTCAATTTTTTTGGGTCTAATTGTAAATAGGATCACGTTCTTAATATCTTCTTCTTCTTTCTCATTGTTTGTGTATTGTGTATTATAAGGCAACTGAGTTATGTGTTTTGATTTTATACCCTGCCACTTTGCTAAACTGTTTCCATTTTTTTTTTCCTGTGGAATCATGAGGGTTTTCTATGTATGTTATCATGTAATCTGCAAATTATCATAGCTATACTTCTTCTTTCCCAATTTGGATTTCTTTTATATATTTCTCTTGTCTAATTGCTCTAGCTAGAAACTCCAATTCTCCCTTGAATAGCAATGGTGAAAGTGGATCCATGATTTGTGCCAGATCTTAGTAGAAAAATTTTCAGTTTTCCATCATTGAGAATGATATTAGCTGTGGATTTATTGGAAATGGCTTTTAGTATATTAAGGGATGCTATGTTTATTCCCAATTTTTCAAGGGTTTTCAACATAAATGGATGTTGGATCTTATCGAACACTACCTCAGCATCAATTGATATGGTCATATGGTTTTATCTTTTTTATTGTTGATGTGGTGAATTACATTGAATGATTTTTGGATGTTGTACCATCCTTGTTTTCCTGGTATGATTTTTATTTGGCCATGGTGTATGATCTTTTTAATGTGCTGTTGGATTAGGTTTGCTGGAATGTTATTAAGTATTTTTGCATCTGTGTTCATTAGGGAGATTGATCTGTAATTTTTTGTTGTTGTCACCTTTGTTTGGTTTTGTTTTTAAAGTAATGTTGGCCTCATTAAAAGTATTTTGAAATATTCCTCCTTTTTATTTTATTTTTTTTTGCATGAGTTTGAGCAATATAGGCATTAGTACCTCTTTGAACATTAGTGGAATTCATGTGTGACGACATCTGATCCTGGATTCTTGTTTTTCTGGAGAGTTTTGGTTACTGCTTCAATTTCTTTTATTTAAGATTTATTTATCTTTTGCATAAAAGAGCTCGGGTAAAGGTCAGAGGCATGGGAGGGTGAGAGAATTCACCAGAGAGAGAGTGGGATGCATAACAAGCAGAGGGTGAGAGAATTCACCAGGAACAGAGCGGGGAGCAGAGCAGGCAGATGGACCGAAAACACTGCTGATGGGAGCAGTGGATGAGACAGGAGAGGTCTGCTGTGCCATGTGGGTATCTCCCTGGCTGGCCAGGAATTGAACCAGTTCTGCAGAGGCTGCGGACAGCTTCACAGAGCTGTGCTCAACCCGCTATGTCACTGGGAAGACCCTACTACTTTAATTTCTTTGCTTGTGATAGGTTTGTTTAGGTTTTCTATTCTTCCCTATTCAGTCTCAGATTATTGTGTAATTCTAAGGATTTGTCCATGTCTTCTAGTTTATTAAATTTGTTCCCATCTAGATGCTCATAGGTCTCTCGAATTATCCTCTGAATCTCTGCAACATCTGTTATGATTTCTTCACTTTCATTATTTTATTCTATTTATTTGAGTTTTCTTCTTGGTGAGTTGCTTTGCTTTTAGCCTATGTTTGTTTTTGGAGTTGGGTATGTCTCCTAGAGACAACAGAAGTTTGGATTATGTTTCCTAATCCATCCAGAGACACTCTTTAAATTAGGGAATTCAGTCAATTTGTGTTTAAAGTGATTTTTTCACATTTTATTCTTAATTTTTGTGGGTTAATCTATTTCCTTATTTAGCTCTTTGTGTATATTCCTTTTCTTTAGTTTCATCATGTAAGCTTTTTTCAATATTTATTTGTGGGGTCATTTAGTGTTTGCAAACTTCTAGAGCTTCCTATTTTTGAAAGGACCTTTATTCTCCCCTTCTATCTGAAGGAGAGTCTTGCTGGATAGAGTATTCTTGCCTGGCAGTTTTTCTCTTAAGTATTTGGAACATGTCATTCCATTCTTTGCTCATTTGCAGTGTTTTTCAGGTATGATGTTAGCCTGATCAGGTAACTTTATATGTTATCTGCTTCCTCTCCCTTGCCAGTTTTAGTATTCTTACTTTGTTGTGAATTTTTTTGAAATTTTACTATCATATGTCTTGCTGACTATCTTGTTTTTTCTAGATATGCTGGGGTTCTTTTAGCTTCCTGCATTTGTACATTCATTCATTTTTCTATGTTTGGGGAATTTTCTTTAAATATATTTTACATCTCTCTCTCTCTCTCTCTCTCTCTCTCTCTCTCTCTCTCTCTCTCTCTCCCCTCTGGTATTTACATTATTCTTATGTTTTATTTTCACATGGATTTGGATTGTTCTCTGGTGATTCTTCATTTTTTTTTAACTTCATTTCTCTCTTTGCTTATCTACCTGGGTTCTTTGATCTATTCTACTTCCAGGACTTTCTGCTTAGTCTTTCATCTCCTACATTTCTCTCTTGAAATGATGAATCCCTATTTTTATCTTACTTAGAGGTTCATTTTCTGCCTTCAGTTCACTGACATGAATTTCTAAGGATAATCATTTATTTTTCTAAATTAATTTCAATTCTAAACTCTGCACCTGATTGGAGAACATGGCTACAATATCTATGACTTGCAGTTTTGGGGATTTGTTCTCTCCTATAATGTACTATTTGCTCAGGGAACCCTCCCCAACATAGGCCCAGAGCCTCACCAATCTGCACAGGCACTGGTGGAGTCTTGCAGAAATCATGAGATCTCTGTTGGTCTGGGCAGGTTCTGGCAGATACCTGCAGGCTTCTCCACACTCTGGCTCTCTCCCCAATGGGGTCCAAAGTCTTGCTAGTCTGGGTGGAGACTCTCAGGTTCTTGAAGACACTCATAAGACCTCTGTTGGTCTGGATGGAGGTCAACACATTAATTCAGAAGGTCATGAGGTCTCTGGTCACACTGACATTCCTCCTGAATGGGCTTGTTTTCTCACCAGTCCAGGTGGGGACTCTGAATTTGGTTTTTGATGGTCCCTGTGGCCTCATGGAGAATATGACTGTAATTGAAACAGAGAACACTCAGTGGAGTGAGGGGGTTTTGGAGAGAGAGACATAATATAAGTCTTTCTATCCTTTGTTGAGCCTGCAGGTTTGTGTTTTGGAAAGTAGTATCTTTTGGAGCATAGGTACCAAAACTCTTCTGAATGCCAAGGGGAATTGACATAATAAAGAATCTGTGAACTTGAAGACAGAACACTTGAACCGAGAAACAAAAAGGAAAATTGAAGTAAGCAGTATGATTTAAGACTAAAAATTCTAAACCAATTTAAAGGATATACTCAAGGGAGAGGCGACCAAAAAAATGACAGAAAATTAATTTAAAGCAATAATGGATGGAATTTTTCCAAACATGGAGAGAGATATAGCTATCCAGATCCATGAATTTGGATAAACGAAATAGGTTAAAGCATAAAATGACTAAATAAAGACCATTATAATTAAATTGTCAGATATCAGATTCAAAGAAAGAATTTTGAAACCAACAAATAAAAAGTGACTTGTCATATACATGGGGGCCTCCATGAGACTATCTTTTAATTTTTTGGCAGGAACTTGGAAGTCCGTGGGAGAGGGATTAAATATTTAAAATATAAAAAAGAAAAATCAATCAAGTATATATAATAAGTAATGTTGTACCTCAGAAGTAAAGGAGAGATTAGGACTTTCCCAAACAATAACTGAAATAATACATCACCAGAAGACTTGCTTTACAAGGAGTGTAAAAAGGTTGTATTCATCTGAAACAAAATAATGGTTATCAATATTGTAGAAATATATGAATAAGCATTAGAGTGTAAATTTAAATATAGTCAGAATCAGAATCTTTAATGTATAAAACACTAAATCTAATTTAAAGGTTAAAACATATTTTTTCACTGTTTTATTTAAATTTTATTTTTATATTCCCCATACAATTACAACCCCTTATTTTAATCCCAAGCCCTCTTTTCCCCGCCCCACACCCCCATAGAGTGTCTCTGGTTCATAGTTGTTTGTTGATTTTGACATTTTCTTTCTTACAGTTATTCTTTTTCCTGGTCCCTTATTTAAGTTTTCTAGATTCCGGCTATGAGTGAGACCATCCAGTATTTTTCTTTTTTATTTCTCGCTTATTTTGCTGAGCATGATCCCTTCCAGCTCCATCCATGTTGCTGCAAATTGCATGTGTTTATCTTTTTTGAATGCTGAGTAATGTTCCATGGTGTATATGTACCACATCTTGATCCAGTCATCTACTTTTGGGCATTTGTGTTGTATCCAAAGCTTAGCTGTTGTAAATACTGCTGCTATAAACAGAGGTGCAGGTGCCCTTTGGGATTATGTTTTAGTGTCCTTTGGGTAAATACCTAGGAGTGGAATTGCTGGATCATATGGAAACTCTATGATTAGTACGTCAAGAAATCTCCACACAGCTCTCCATTGTGGTTGGACCAGTTTGCACTCCCACCAGCAGTGCAGGAGAGTTCCTTTTTCATCACAACCTCGCCAGCATTTGTTGTTGCTAGTTTTTTTTTTTTTTTTTTTTAATGTGCCATTCTCACTGG